TTTGTTATAACATTTGGCTTTATCTTCTCGAGATGATCTTTGAAATTTTCTGTTCAGCTCTTGGACCTCCTCATTTCTTCCATTTGCTTTAACATCTCTATGCTGGAGAGCAAGTTTCAGTGTCTCTTCTGACATCCATTTTGACCTTTACCTTCTTTCTTGTTTTCTTAATGACTTTTTGCTTTCTACCTGTATGATGTTCTTGACAAACTGACAGACGTGTGGCTCTATAAAGATTCACAGCCTTAGAAACCCAAAGGGGTACCTGTACTCTATGCTATAGGGTCGCTGTGAGTCAGAATTGACTCCATGGCTTATTCTTAAATACTATAGATTAAGGAGCTCTGGTAGAGTAGTGGTTACGAATAGGGCTGCGAACTGCAAGGTCAGCGTTCGAAACTACCAGCTGGTCCGTGTGAGAAAGATGGGGCTTTCTGCTCCCGTGAAGATTTATAGCCTCGAAAACCCTGTACACGGTCGCTATAGGTTGGAACCGACTCGATGGCACTTAACAACAAACAACATATAAAGGTTAACAAAGTCATTTTTGGACTCCTTGTGTGGCACTGTAGGATCAGCACTAGATTGTACACCATAAATTCAGCAGTTCAAAATTACCCTCTGCTCCTCGGAAATACAGGGTCGCTAGGAGTCAAAACCGACTCAATACTCGACAACAAAGTTATTTTCAACACAATCATATAAACTGCTTTTTAGCTGGGGGTTCTGGGAGAGTAAAGGGATTAAAGTCATAAAATTAGAAAGACACTGGATTTAGGCATGCATATGAGTCACAAAAAGACAGAATGAGTTCATAAGCATCTTGCTGGACTTGAGCAGGAGAGATCCTGAAGTAACTAGTAAGCAAATAGTAGATGAAAATTTATTATTCAGTACCCATTATTTCTCATTAAGGTATGTGAACAGCCTCTGATAATCTAATGTCCTGTTTTAAATTTTTAATAAAAATGAAAACATATGGACTTTTACATATCAATTCATCTAACCCCAATTTTTTTTCCCCCATTCTTTCTCATAATGTCTTAAATTGCTGGATTATAGGCATTTTCAAAGCTACAGAAAGTAAGATACTGTATTATAATTATTCTCACTGTCTTGATAAGGAAACCCCCAAAGGAGTTAGATATCTTCAAGGTCACTAAAACTCAAGCTAGGTTAATCTGATTCCAGAACCCTGGCTGTTTCTATTCAGTCGAACAACCTCTTGCAACCAAGAGCAACTCAGGGATGGGATAGAGAAGACCTGGGTCAGGATGACGAGGATGGGGCAACTATGGAGTACCTAGCCTGGGGCGCAGAGTGAGAAGGACTCAGCCAAGAAGTGCAGTGGGAGACTGGGGATGGCAGGACGATCCCCGCAAGAGGATGGCAATGGGTGAGGGCCTCCGGGCTGGGTGTAGAGAGGTGGTGGAAGGGAAGGCCTAGGCTGGAGAAGGGCGTCAGGGCCGAGGTGAGAAGGACGGAGTCAGGGCATGGGCGGTGGGTAAGGGCTTCGCGGACCTGCCGAGCCTGGGATGGATGCCCTCTCGGCAGGCCTCCGGGGAGTGTTGGTGCGCAGCAGCCAGGCCTGGAACCGGGCAGGCGCACTCCTCGCAAACCAGCCAGCCTCCCAGGTCCAGCCTAACCCTGCGGGGTCCTGATTCTCAGGGGTCCGCGGCCTCTCACCTGCCCGGTGGCCGCAGCGCCGCCCCTCCTCCTCCATCTTGTAGCCCGGACCCCAGCTCCGCCCGCCGCCCGGGACGATGCTGGGCTAAAGGCATCATCGCCATCGCCGACGCCTCCGCGCATCCCCGGAGCCGCGGCGAGACGAGACGGAGGCGCGGAGGTGCAGTCGCGAAGACGCGGAGCGGCGCCGCCCCCCGCCAGGACCCTCAGGCCGCCGCCTCTCGGGCCCCAGGGCCGCCCTTCCTGTGCCTCCGGGGCCCCTCGGTCCCTGCAGCAGAGCACGAAGTGGTTTCTCAGGCTGACGCTTTGCCGCTGTTTTAGGAATCCCGGCTCCCAGAAGTAGGCAAGAGACCAAATATAAGGGAAAAAGGTGCAGCAAAAATGAGCGGGTAGGAAGGGGGAACGGTGGGGATGCTGATGATGCTTTACGATCCATTATATCCTTTGCTTTACTGGGTGGAGGTGGGGGCGCCGGGCTCTGAGGGGACTAGGCTACCCAGGTCTATTAGTCCGTGCCTGCCGCCCAGTGATCGCCATTCCCTGTGCGTTTAAGGTGGCCTAACACCAGCAGTTCCTCGGAAACCCTATATGGTCACTAAGTCGGAACCGATTAAACGGCAGTTTAACAAAACTCCGCACTTCTTGTTGCTAAGTGCCGTTGAGTCGGTTTCGACTCATAGCGACCCAGTATAGGGTTTCCATTGAGACTGGTGAGTTTGAACCGCTGACCTTGTGGTTCAAACCGACCTTACGGCCCAGTGCTCTATCCTGCAGCGCCACAACAGGACTCCAATTCTTAGTATTATTCCTGTATAGAATTTCCAAGCAGCTGGTGAGTTTGAACCCCCAACCTTGTAGTCCACACCAGGGCTCCCAAATTGTTATTATATGTTGCATGCAAAAAATATACAGCTAAGTTAATTTTAAGCAAAAATACAAAATAAAAAGCTACCGTCCTTCTCAATCTTACAAACACTTATTTTAAAACCTTACCCGTTGCAGTCCAATGGATTAAGTCCAGTGCACTCAATCACCCAATAGGACAGAGTACTGCCCCAGATGGTTTCCAAGGCTGTAATCCTGAAAGAGCTAGAACTAGACTTCTCTCATTTTTATGTTTGCTATTCTAGCTACAAAATAAAGTCAAACTCTTAACTCCTTCAGTTTTCCAACTACCACTAGGGTTCCAGTTCATACATCCATGGGTTTATAGCAAACAAAATATGTGTAAATGTCTTTGCAATAAGTAGACAGCTGAAGATAAATTCAGTAATACACTTATTTTCTTAGGGTGCATTTTAAAACAAAAAAGAATGAGTGCCCAAAGTGTTGCATGAAGATCCATTAGTTCAAAGAGCTGCTCTTTCCATCAGTCTTCTAAATACTTCAAAGCAAATGAATACTATTTTAAGAATGAATTATAATCAGGGACAAGTCTTGAATTTAAAGATCCTGAGAGCAAGATCCAATTAAACAGTGTCTTCTGATGGGCCAGTTAAATTCAAAGCAGTTAGGTCAGCTCAAACGTTTACGAAGACTATTTTCTGGAATTCCAAAGGATTATTCTTGTTAAAATTTTTATGGACATAGGATGATTACAGGGGCTTATATAATGTTGAGTGGGGCTGCTAACTTCAAGGTCAGCAGTTCGAAACTACCAGCCGCTCTGCAGATGAGGCTTTCTGCTCCCGTAAAGATTAACAGCCTTGGAAACCCGATACAGGGTTGCTATGAGTCGGGACCAACTGTCCGGCACCCTACCACCATTATGAATTTTTGTCACTCAAACAGTGACAAAAAGGCCAGTAAAGTTGCACTAGATAATCCCCCCCCTCCCCCATCACAATGCACCTGCTCACTATTCTAAGGTAACAAGGGCTGTCCTAGGAAATTCTGTTGGGAAACCTTACTCTACTGACACTATAGCCCTTAGCTTTTCCCTTCAAACCTTTGTCAAACTCAAAGAACACTGAAAAGGAACACAATTTGAATCCCTCAAGGATCCCAAAACTGCCATTTTGACTTGGTGTGAACTGAGGAATGCAGAATTCTTCAGGGAAGGGCTATAGAGAGGGTTACACCACTTTCAGAAGTGTATATACCTAGATAGAAGATATCAAGAAACAGTAGATTCACATTTTGGTATTGCTGTTCAAAAAGGTTTCTATAAAAACCCTATGGAGTTCTACTCTGCACACATATGATCATGAGTCAGAATCAATTAGACAGCAACTAACAACCATAGTGCCAGAATACCCAGTATTTCATTTGATGAATACTTGAAGTGGGACTGTGTAACTAGTATAATCCTCTTTGGCCAATCTTTTTGAAGAGAACTACCAACAAAGGAGCTCTGGTAGCATAGTGGTTACAATTCAGGCTGCTAACCTCAGGGTCAGCAGTTCGAAACTACCAGCTGTTCCATGGGAGAAAGATGAGGCTTTCTGCTCCCGTAAAAATCTACAGCCTCGGAAACCCTGTACAGGGTCACTATGAATCGGAACCGACTCCACAGCACATAACAACAACAACAACCAACAAATGCGTAAGAACATATTTACATAAATTCTATTTCTTAGTGTTTTTGTCAAGAGAAAAATGCAAGTGCTGGATAGTTTATGAAGTAGGTATCGAGTACAGGAGTTACTATGCTATCAGTAACTGTTCAGGAACAACTTTTAAGAAATTTCTGTAATTTCCATATAACTTATACTTCACTCCCTAAACAAGCTGCAATGCAGCAGTCCTTAAAGACCAAAGTGAAATGCCTCTCTGTGTGATTTATCTATTGCAAATCTAATTGCAGCAGATAAATGCCAGTTATTTCTAGGCAATTCAGCCTTATGAAGGTAAAAGAGATAAAGGTATGTTTAGGTTGGATTGCAGGTATAAGAGTTACATGTACTGGAGAAATAACCCCATTTTTAGGAAAAACAAAAACAAAACCCCCCAAGTTGTAAAGGAGTTTAGAAATCTAGAAGAGCAAAAGTGATTTTAATGGAGTCCCAGAACTGTTAAGTGCCTTCAAGTCAATTCTGACTCACAACAACCCTTTATAGTGTTTCCAAGGCTACAATCTTTGTGGGAGCAGAGGTGGGATCAAACTGCTGACCTTGTGGTTCACAGATGAGTACTTTTCCTGCAGAGCCACTGTGCTCCTCCAGTTATAGCTATGTCTTAAAAATCCAAAGTGTACCGAATTGGAAAGAACACTGGCTTAGTAGTTTAAAAAAAAAGGAAAATCTGGAAATAAACAGTCAAACCAGCTGATCATACATTAAATCTTCCATTATGAATGGGCTATCATTCTGCAGTGAAATGAGCATGCCATTGGCAAAACACACTGATCAACATGCACTTTGAGATAAGCAACGTATTTCAGTCATGTTATGTTATTCTTGACCTAGATACCTCGCTTCTGAGAATTTATGCTAAGGAAATACTTCAACAAAAAAGTTTTAAGCACAAGGTCTGAAAATGTTCACTGCAGTGTAATTTGCAGTAGAGAAAATTGTTAACAACTTCGATACTCACAACAGGGAAAGTGAAAAAAAGATGATATATTAGCAAGACAGAAGTCTACACAAATAACTAAAAATAGTGCAAAGAAAACTCCCCACCCCACCACAGGAAAACTCAGTTATTTCTGGCTACACTGTTGTTGTTCCCACTCATAGTGACCCTGCACCAGGTTTCTGATGCTGTAAATCTTTACGGGAGCAGAAAGCCTCATCTTTCTCTTGCGGAACTGCTGGTAGTTTTGAACTGCCAACCTGAGGTTAGCAGTCCAATTCGTAATCACTACGCTACTAGAGCTCCTTTCTGGCTACACTACAAGTCACCAACATTGACCTACAATACCTATGGCTTGGTAATGCCAATGTATTACTCAGTATTTAATGTATTGAAAACACCCATTTTTCTGCCCCATTTAGAATTTTTGGTGCTGGTAGTTGTTTTTTTTTTTTTTTGCATCTAAACGTTCAATTATTTGCACTAGGAAAGCACGTTTTCTCCTAAATATCAAAAACATTTGTAGTATTTGTATTTTAAAGGATCCACTCAGAAACTAACGATGATTTACTGGGTTTCCTAACCTGAAAAAAAAACCATAGGAGACGTTCTCTTTTTTCATCAACCAAAGAAATCTCTTTCATTGCCCAATTAATTTATGACAAATCTTTTATACTCAGCTTTCAGCAGTGACTTCCGAAAGAGTTTATACCCACCCAAGTACATTTTCTTGCATCCTTTAAGACTGCCATTGTTCTGTCTTTCTGAAGAATTAAGACATCAGTAGCTATGTAGCTATTTTCTGTCCCTCTTCACTTTCATTAATGACATCACTGCTAGGAAATTTAGACCAGTTTCCAGTTCACAGAAGATGACTGGGAGAAGCAAGATGCAACTTCCAAACCTGAATCACATGGAGAGAATGCTAGAAACTCTTAAGATCCCAGTTTTCAAGGCTGTGGGCCAGTGACTCTCAATCCTGGCCCCTTAATGGAATCATCATGGAGATTTTACAACATATGCTTGGTTCCCACTCAGAAATTCCAACTGGCCCCTCTGCTATCTTGCTTTTTTTTGTTTCATATACATTAGTTGGTGTGGTCAGTGTAATGTAAAGCCTCACTAATAAAAGTGTGTACCCACGACCAAGCATGTTGACATCATGACCATAAATCAGAATTTGGATTTTAACAGAATCTCCAGGTGATTCTTAGGCACATCAACTTGAGAATCAAGCATCTGGATCAGTGCTGTCCAATAGAATGTTCTGGAATGATGGTGGAAAACATTTATTCACCTGTACTGTTCAAATATGGTCATTATTGGCCACCTATAACTAACAAGCATGTGAAATTGGCTCATTAGACTGAAAACTAAAAACCAAAACAAAATAACAAAAAACAAACCCACTGGCACCGAGTCGATTCCACCTCATAGTGACCCTGGTATAGGGTTTGAGGCTGTAAATCTTTATAGGAGCAAAAAGCCTCATCTTCTCTCATGGAATGGCTGGTGGGTTTGAACTGCTGACCTTGCATTTAGATTAAGGGGATGTATTTTGAATTTTACCTAATTTAAGTGCAAACAGTCATATGGGTCTAGTAGCTACTGTACAGAACAGGGCAGATCTAAAGAATATGTATTTGATGTCAGAAGACACAATCCAAGGATCCAGATCTTGTCTGCAAAAGAGATTCTTC